AAACACTGACAGGTGAATTAATAATAATAATAATAATAATAGTAATAGTAATAATAATAATAAATGACAATTTACATAGCGCCCTATCTAAAAGCTCTAAGGCGCTTCACAATCAAAGTAAAAAATAAAAATAATAATCAACGTAATCATTCATAAAAATAACGCTTTAAAAGATAAGTTCTAAGATTACGCTTAAAAGTGTTAAGATCTACACTACATTTAATGGTTTCAGGAATGTTATTCCACAGCTTAGGTGCAGAGACAGAAAAGGTGCGATCGCCATAAGATTTCAACTCGGAGCGAGGAATCACTAACAAGTTCCTACTCGATGATCGTAAAGACCTAGTAGGCTTATAAGTTTCTAACAAGTCACTGATATAACCAGGGAATAAATTATTTAAAGCTTTAAAAGTAAAAAATAAGATTTTAAAAATAATCCTCTGCTCCACGGGGAGCCAGTGCAGTTCCCTCAGCAAAGGAGTAACGTAATCATGCTTGCGACCACATAAGATTCAAACATTCATTCATTCATTATAAGATTCATGCGTGTCAATGAACTTTATTTTCTGATCGAATACAAAACTCTCGAGGGATTTGTTTGCTGACTTCATAAGCGTGCACGATAGGAATATGAAGCACGCTCACGCAATTAAATTTGATTAGACAAATTTACGCACTGTCACAATATCTGTTGAATTTCTACTTTTTCATGTGTCTTTAACCTTGAAAAAAACTCACTAGAAACTGACTAGCATATTAATTAATTTTCAACCAAGCGACTAAGGATTCGAAAGCGTGCCATCGATCATGACAGCTCTACTTCTGCATATCATGCCATCACATCTGTGTTTAGTGCAGACCATCGTCCCGGGAAACATAACTTCGCTTTCATTTTCAGTTGCACCACACAATGAACCCATCAGTCTGTACACTTCAGGTTCAGGTTTATTTTCTGCTTTCTGTAAAACTCGCGGCCAATCAAAATGATCAACAATTGATTTAGACCATGGATGACTTTGTTCGTGTTTACATAGTCTCATCTATACACGAGCAGGGCTGGCTGAATTCGTGAAAGTTGGCAAACCCAGGAAACAGTCAAAGGATTTTAACAAGTTTGGGACTGAATTAGTATATCTAATTTTTTTCACAAATATTATTCATACACAAAAGAGGCTTCCACTACTTCATTTATTTATTGCACAACATTTATCTCAACGTTGTCGCAAAACGTTTAAAAATTTACCCTAAAATATATTTGGAATGAAGTCGATTTAATCTAATCATAATAGATGCCCGTAGGAAGTTTAGATCCGAAACTGCATGGTCAGATGTAACTAACCGGTTCAAACCTTCTTTAGCAGTACTATTATCATCTGCACAAGAAAAAGGAAGGAATAAAACTTAAATATATTTTAGCTTCACAGTTGTCAATCATATATAATTGTTAAGAGCCCATCTCTGGCCTATTTTTGGCTTCTACATGTGTATAAAATTATGAGCTACTGTTAGCAAGCGCTATGTTGCTGCTACCAAGTCACAGGGAACTTGAAAGTAAATGGATCGTTTAAGGTTGGACTCATGAGTGTGATATGCATAACAATATAAAAACGTATGAATAACAACGATATTTCCATGGCACACAATCGTTTGAGATCGAGACATGTAAGTAAAGAGCTGTCATCCTACCGATTCAAAGTATCAATCAAACTGTTCTAAGGGTTTAAGTTTTGGCTTATACTTGGCTTTAGAGAGAAAGAAATGTGTAAAGTAAAATAATAGTGCAGGATTCAAAGGCTGAAAAACATGATTTTTGTCAGGTTCCATTGTGGACTCTGAATAAATTGTACTGCTAACATCACTGTTCATCAATAAAACTTGTTGAGAATGATTAATAGAGTGCTTATCTTGTTTGGGAGAGGGAAATGGGACAAAATTCTTTTAGAACCTTCAGCATGGTTGAGTCTAGGAGGTGAAATCCATTGGATCGAATTTGAAGAACAGTGATTAACCGAGCGGCGGTAAACGCGAGAAAATGCATGCCTTGCACGAATTAATTCGAATACACCGTTGCAGAGAAAATACCGGAAAATGCATGTTTCGACTGGTTAACTCCAGTGAATATGAAGTTGGAATGCGCAAAGCGGCTGTGAATAGCAGAATAACTGTTATTTTCCATGGGTTAAACGAACAGTTATAAACTGTAAAACGCCGAAAAATGCGTTTTATCGAATTTGCTCGAATTCACCATTGGGAAGAAATATTGGAAATGCATGCTTTCGACTGGAAAACTCTTGTGAACATTTCGTTAATCGTGCGAAAAATGGTTCTGAATAGAAGAAAACATGACATTTTCTATGCGTTATACGAACAGCAAACATGAAATCATTGCATTTTCCTGCATTTACACACATTAATCTTCCAGGAAAATGCGTGTTTTCAGCTGCTAACTCCGGTGAGTTCGTTGTTGTACACTGGGAAAATGCCAATGAACAAAAGGAAAACAAGCTGTTTGCAGTGCGTTAACCGAAAGGTTAATGCCGGAAAATGATTTGTTAACCTGCATTTACTGCGAAGGAAAACTACAGTATAATGGAACGAATATTGGGATTCACCGGTGCGAAAACGCACAGAAAACGTTGGATTTTCCGTACGCAGAACATGGGTAAACGTTTGAAAAATGCCGCGTTTTCCGTGAATTCAATCTTCGTATTCTGTACGGTGAACGCTACTTTTTTGCCGTGGTTGTTACACCGACATATTCACTAGCTCGGCCAAATGTAGATGTACTCGACTGTGCCTGAAACGCGTATATAGTCATTCGGCTGGCTGACCACAATACGAGTGTGTAACATCATCTCTTTAAAGTAAAAAAAGGTCACTAGGTAAGAAATTAAGAAACGTGCAGGACGAATTTCAATGAATTTCAAAGGTGAATAATTACTTAGATAAGAAACCATTTCTATGATCACTTTGTCTTTGATTTATTCCCTATTCAGGACAACTCTTGATCGCCCACCTTGAAAATCAATGAACTTGTTTGCGTAATTGATCCAAATTAGGAAGAATCCACACGATGTTACAAAATCGACTGAAAATGTAGCGCTTGGCTCCAAGAACTACCTCTGTGAAATACAGAACATATCATTACTTTTTTTTTTATCATCGTTTCTCTACTGACAATGTTCGTGTTCCCTACGAAACAATCATTTTAAAGATCAAATCAATTTTAAAGCTCGCTACTAATCAAAATGAACAACACTTAAACTGACTTCGACAATGGACTCCGCTTTTACAGAGCCTCGTCTAACTGAGCAGGGCTGGCTGAATTCGTGTAAGTTGGAAAACACAAGAATGTACAGTCAGAGGGACTTGAGATATATTCCTAATTTTCATCAAACAAGAGGCTATACGAAGCTTATATTCTGGCCGGATCTGCAGTTTAGATGGAACGAATTGAAGGTCTCGCGGTGTTCAGCAAAATCGCTGTTGTGTGCTTTTCATTGTTTTCATAACATGGATCGAGAGTTATGGAGATTAAGACTTTGGAAAGAGTTGATGCCATAACAAATTGGAAAAACTTGCTAGATAAAATGCGGGGACTAACGTAAGTACCGCGGCAAAGTCAACAGAAAAGGAATAAATCACTTTGTGACTTAGCTTGAGTCACGGAGAAATCCAGAATGATAGTAACCAGGGTGTTCTACAAAACCAGTACTAATTAGAATCCTCCGTTTATCAAATTTCCGGTTGCAAAACTCATCAAATTTTAACGCTGTGATTCAAATCTTTCTCTGTCTCCCCGATTTTTCATTCACATGTCAGGTTTCGCCTCATAGTCACTCAAAAAATATTTGCATGTGAACGCGATGATCTTTGCTTACCAGGTTTTCTCCCGCTTACATCTGATAACAAACATCTGAAGTTTTCTACCTCGGAACGATATACCACAGAAAGCATTTTATGGACCGCAAGTTTTTCGACTTATTGAAATTAAACATATGTGGTAGTGACTTTCACAAGTTTTTTTTTGTTTTTTTCGTTTTTTTGTTTTTTTGTCAGAAAAGTATGTTTTTTTTCGTCCGCTAAAGTAATCATCGCTAATGTTTACATAAGATAGTTAAATTAATCAACAGCCAATAAACTTTAACTGTTCCCTCGGTTGTTGTTTTTGATCAGTATGTTAAAGTAATCATCGCCAATGTTTACATAAGATAATTGAATTAATCAATCGAATTAAATCAATCAGCCAATAAACTTTAACTGTTTTAACTGTTTCCACTGTTTTTGCGTTTTATCAGCATTAACAATTTAAGCGATTCACCGTTTTACGTTTGTGCTTGAAAATAAATATTTTAAAGTTTATTCGAAAGATAAGTGTAAACAGTCACAAGGTTGGTTTATCGTTTATGCGCGGCCCAGCACTTCAAGCCTGGATACACTCGATGCCAAAAAACAACCTCGTTCTCAGGCTATGTCCACCATTTTGCTTTACTCCGATTAAAATCTGCCATGTGCACCTATCGTGCATTTTCCTGCGGTGGAAAAACCAGACCGAATTTCTGACTCATCATCATCATCCATACGAATACAAAAAGGTTTTAAGATTTCATTTATTTACTACACAACATTTATCTCAACGTTTTCTCAAAACTTTCACAATTGACCTTAAAATAAATCAGTTGGAATAAAGTCGATTTAACCTAATTATAATTAATTACTCTAGAAAGTTGTTTTTAAATCTAAAACTGACAGCATAATCAGATGTAGTTCACCGGTTTAAGCTTCAGCTCTACCAAACAAATTTTGCGTTTTGTTTCCATCAAAAGACTCATCAAATAAATCACGTTGCCTGATAACTCGTAGATAACTTTATCAAACCCCCCGAGAACATTAGAGAGTCTCGTAAGAGGATCTGGTAAATTATTTCATATAAACAATTGTTTCATGACACAAAAAAATCTTCCCGAAGAAAAGATTACCGGTTCCTCAAAGAGAATGCTCTAGGAAAAGTCTGCTGGTCTGACTTTCATTTCAGATGTTTTGGGGTCGTTGTTTTTAGCTTCAGGGTTTAATTTTGCCCAGTGAATTGTGCAATTACTTCCAGAATGAGGACAGATGCCGTTAAGATTTGAGTTAACAGTACAAACTCCATCAATGTACAGGTACCACCAGCCTCCCCCATATTTCCGTGCACAATCATGATCAGCTGGAAATCTATTCCACGTACTAAATAACGTGCCATTATGACCGGAGAGAGAATCTTCAACAGTAGCAGCTGCACAAAAAAGGAGAGGAACAAAAAGTAAACTTAAGGAGGCTCCATAGGGTTTTTGCTCAATGTTGGTGCGCGCGCCAGCGCATTGTTTTTCTAGAAAATTTTGTGTTTTCGCTTTTCTAGGTTACTAAAAGCTATCAAAAGGGCGATGAGCAACGTTCGGACTATCGTTTGCTGTAGTAAATGTTATCAAAATTATTTTCGCTATTAAGCTAAGGTTCCACGAAGAGAGGCGCTCGCCAGTAATAATTTGGCTTTGATTTTCTTCAGTTTGCTTAGGTGAATTTCCCAAAATTTTCACAATATGTGAAAATTGTCCTGTCGATCATTTAAAAGCCGAAAAAATAGGAGTTACAGAGGTAGTTTCAACGCTATTTGTAATTTTGTGTTTTCTTCCTCAATCTCAAATTTGGTCTTATCAATTTCTCTTATCAACAGGCACTGGAGAGGGCACAAATATGTTTAACGGCCCAGAAAATCTTAAGAAATTCCAACGAAAGAAACGCGATCAATCTTGCTCGAAAGATCCCCATTTTCTCAGAATAGAACTTCGCCAATGTCTATATCTGAGCGTGCGTAAACTTTCGAATCTGTTGCTTCATCTGTCACCTTTCTATGGAGCCTCCTTAAATATATTTTAGTTTCATATTTGACAATAATCCGTAATTGTTAAGAGCCTTTCTCTGGCCTATTTTTGGCATCTACGTGTGTATAAAATTATAAGCTACTATTGCTTGTGGAGGTGATGTTTCAGAAAACACTTTTGCATTCCAAAGCATCAAAGTTACAGAGTCAAATCTGACACCTATTTTTCTATACATCCTAGGCCTTTGTGTCACCTGATGGATTCTCCGCCACCAAGTCACAGGTAACTTGCGAGTAAATGGATCGTTTAGGGCTCATGAGTGTGGTATACATAACCATATACAAATGCACGAATAACAAAAATATTTCCAAGGCATATAGTCGTTTGAGAGACATGTGGGGTGAATAGCTATGAGAATGACTACATATGCAAGGTTGGTGATAAAAGTGATCATCCATCAAAATTATCATTCATTGTGAAATAGTAGATTGGCTTACATGAAATATTGCCGATGTGTAGCTTGTAATGGGCTGTCTCATTCTCAATACCAAACCATTCGTACTCAGCGTGAACAGTTTTGCTCGCATTTACTCCCAGATCCACGCGGAGTTTGTTTTCTGTCTTGTTTTGCGTCAGGCGTTGGATCTTGTTCAGTCCCAGCCAAAATTCACGAACGAGGAAATCACCGAATCCCTTTTTGTAATCATCCCAGGTGCGGTTGAAATCAGCAATGTTACATAGTCTCTTCTGGATCACTGTCCATCCTCCACCAGCTGTCGTTTGGTCACAATACACATCAAAGGCACCTGAACCATCAGGGTCGATTGTATAAACACCACTGATGGTTTGGCCGCACTTGTAAAGCTCAGCACAGTTCTTAGCTGTTGAGGAAAAAAAATATACCTCGAAGTTCCAAGCCACGTGAAACTTTGCAGTTGATCGATTTAGCTCATGACACAAATTTCGCTCATTTGTTTGTTATTTTCTCAAAGTGAAATTACTATTCCTCAGTCAGATGTGACAGAATTCGACAAGGAAAAAAGGTGTTTCTTTGTCCTGTCACGAGCGAGAGGTCAGGTAAACAGATTGCGAATTTGATTTTTCCAGAGGATATTTGAACCGGGACCTTCGGATCTCCACCACTGAGCCAAATAGACTCTACACTGCTGGTTTGTCAATCGCCAATGATGCCTAAAGCCCGATAATGCAATTAAAAACAGTTTCTAAGATTTGGACTGTTTTCACCCACACTTATAGACTGCGTACCGTATTCGCTACTTTCAACGGTGTTTAGAAAAAAGAAAATAATAATAATGATAATAATAATATGATCACTATAAGTGATCAAAGAGAATCTTTCACAAATTTCACTGATGTTCAGCTCCACTTAGGAAAGTTGACCTCCAACTTACCTGGGATTACAAGCGCTAGAGCTAATTTATTTACTGCCCAACACATCGCCAAAAGCAGCAAAGCAGGATTTACTGAAACAGAGGTTAATGCACTATTAAATTTCTCACTCACTTTTCTTTATAATAGGTTGTATTGTTGCACAGCTTCAGACCCGAGAGATAAACCTCTTTAGGCTATATAAATGCTCAAACGATAAATCAGGAAATCACGCTGCATTATGAACAGACACGTTAGGACTCATATTCTCCAGATAGGGTGCTGTTTCGTATCATCCTGCGAGAAGGGGTTGGAATATTTTCGTTTTGCCCTTAGTGGACCGTGCCTTTTGTAAAACTGCAATATGGGAGAAATTGTCGGGAAAACTAAAAAAATGATAATTGGAATGATGAGTTTTTACCCGAGAACCGAAGAATAGTTAATCAGCAAATTGCTCTCAAGAACGATTTAGCGTAATTTTTAGGATGCACAATGTCCAATAAAACAGTCACTTACTTATTTTTCGACCTTTAACCATTGTACACTTCCGGAATGAAATGCTTAGTAATCAGGACGGAGTATTATCCAGAAACACAGCTAAACAAAAATAAAGCAAACCAAACATGAAGAAAAAGCACTAAATCAAAATAAGAAATAAAGCAAAATACACGGACATGTCAGTGATGATTGATGGATTGTGTAAAGATAACAACATTCTTTGTAGGTAGTTCCATCCGTGTTACTGATGATATGTGGAAGGGCTGGTGCGTTCTAGGGGTTGGTAACAAGTCTTGGACCATACATGTACCCGCTAGTTTGCTAATAAATGGAATGAAAAAATTACATACACACAAAAAATCCAATAACTATGTCTCAAACGAAATCTTTTTTTTATGAATCCCTAAAAGAAACTATTCAAATCGAAGGCTAGTAAAACTAAGTCAGTGTTTGGAAATGGAACGATGTTACGATCAAAGCTAAAAGCTGATGACCATCCAAAAATTAATGCAAAAAAAGGAGACATTTAGGATAAAACTGAATTCCAATCAGGAGTTTATATATTTTAGATCCTTTCCATCAGAGACCATATCAGCCATATATGCAAGAAACTTTTCCAACGCGTAGGTGTCCTACCGTCAACAAGAAATCACTTACCTCTCACAAAGAGAATATTATTTTATACGGCAATATTGAGCAAATATTAATGTATAACGGAACGGTCTGGGGAGTAATCTAAAAAAAATAACATCAGACGCAGCTGCCAGGGTAATCCTGTGAGTAAAGAAGCGATAGCAGAGAGAACTGAATTGTGCGCGTCTCGTGTACGCTGCTCAATCGAAGAAACGCGCTAATGCGTAACCTCGGTTAACGCGATCAGCTTTGAAAATCCTTTATCGGATCTCTCAAACTTGATTGCAAAATTCGAAACTCCGGATCCCAAACGCTAAATCCAGATTTCCCAGTCAGAAGCACTCTAAACTCCTTAAAAGCCACTGCATTAAACACCTGTCTGATAGAATAGTGCGAGGTATTGAAGCTACTTTGTGGTCCTCAAGAAACGTTTTCCCGTAGTATTTAGGGCATTTTGCGGTGTCTTCCTATGTTAGGGAAACATAGGCGGAAGGAATTCCCTCGCTTCAGTTATTATACTGCGAAAAACATTATCAGTACTTGTAAGATCAAGCCTCGCCATTCGAATCGTTGAGAAACGCATTTTTAATTATTCAAAGAAAAAAACAGATAATCTCTTTGGTTTCAGCGATATAGTTTACGGTGGAAGGGGGTGAATTCAACGGACTCGCAAACTTATCAAAATGTTTTTTAAAGTGCAACACTCATCTTTGCTAAAATTTTTACAACGAGCAACAAATTGTGGAGGATTAAGCAATAACATGAATTCAAATGACATTGTTTAACTCAAATTTAAAGAAATATTTTAGGGCTTTACATTCTTAGCTATGTTAATCTTGGGAAGCGGATTGGAATGTTTCGAACAGCTTTTAGAAGATATGCTTACTCTAACCAATCAATGATCGATTTGCATCGACAACATTAGTTTGAAAATCAATTTTCCGAAGGCAGATAATATTATTTTAGACATACAGGGCAAAAAACGTCACTTAGCAGCTTACGGTCGGTCTGCACAGTGAAATATTGTGAAAAAGAAACTGACCTTATCACTCTCCGCAAATCTTTTATCTCTTAAACACTTCAAAGCCATGACTATCACTAACAGCCCAACAATTTTAAAGAAACTGAGATATTGAGCTGTAACATGAGATTATTAGTTTATATTCTCTTGGTTGCACTTTGCTTAGTGTAAAAGGATTTCATTAAACCATACCGTGGCATCCTGTTACAAGCAAAAGAAAATCTGCGATAATACATTTGGGAAGCAGAAACCTGTTGTGGTGTCACAAGACGTAAATTTCTCCACTAATCAGACGATACATATACATGTAGAGTTATAAACGCTAAGGAGCGTGTCATATTGTAATAAGTCAAAACTCTCTAAAGATTGGTGAAATTACAAGACTAGTAAAACTCTTAAGATATCTGCTTTGAGTAAGCTACCTACCTTAATCTTCCTTCAACATCTGGAGGACTGTCAGAATTGCTCTGTAAAATTTCTTTTATTCAGCTGTAAGCAATGGTCAGCCAATCAGAGACTCCCCCTACGGGACAGGGCGGCATTTCAACCAAAAAGTTAGTTTTTTTACCGGTTGAGTTAAGAAAGTAGGACCCTCCGTTGGATTTGTCGGTGGAATTATTTGCGTAAGAAGCTTGGGAAAGCCAAATACGCCAACGATAACAACGGTTTAATAAAAAAAGGCTCATGTTCTTATAGTTCTACAATTGTTTTTTTTGGCATCATGAAAAATTCAAACCTTAAAGAAATTTAACCCTGGATTCAAAACATCTTAGAAGATGTTTTATGAAAATGAATGTTCTGGTATGATGTAACGTTGTGTGTCAATGAAAAAAAATTGAGCAGAATTTAGACTATTACGATATGCCTCATTAATATCCTTTTATATCTTAAAAGTTAAGGGAAGTTCTTTTAAAATGTATTTAAAAGTTATAATGATGACACAAATACTTTCTCAACAAACGCTTGTTTGATGTTTTTACCTAAAAAGATATGGCACTGTAATTGTTATCTATTGTAACTTTTTTCGCATGTCAAAGCAATTATTTTCATCTAACAAGAAATCACCCAGAAAAGGCCGTTGGGTCTCATTTTTCATGAATCAGGCCTTTCTGTAATCATTTGTAGGATGATATGTCATTCTTTTTAGTTATACCTTGGGATAGCAAACAATGTTAGCGATTAACAGGTTATAAACTGTTGGTATTCTCTTGTAGCAATCTAGACATTGTAAATATAACATAAAGATAGTTGTCGTATAAATGACTAAATCATTGAAATATTACAAGCGCCTAAATGGCAGCTTAAGTTGATGACTTGCGAGCCTAATCACTTTTCCGCTTAAAAGATACTATCACTGTACAAATAATGTTATTGTGATGTTTGTTCATGAAAACAAATGAAAAAACAGTCATAGACAACGATTGTCTCCGCCAATACATGGCAAGGTGGGATTATTTAATCTGAGGGATCAGTCAATAATCATTTCCTTTTTGTTCGAAGCGGGTTAGTTTAGAGAGTAGGAAAAGAATTAGTCTTGTTAGCTCAAAGCTACCTTTAAGGTGCTTAACATGTTGCGTCAATGCGTCAAATGCCGACTTAGCCGGAAATCTTATCACATTACGTTGTTTAAAGAAAAAAGAGCGCGACGAAAACTCAAAACTCTACTTGTGAGCGCCTTTAAGATCTCGAGGAATCAGAGAAAGCCGAAAGGGGGAATCAAGAGGATCTGAAAGAATCTAAGAAACCTTTGCGGTGATCCCTATCTTTGATGATATCATAGGATAGTGATAAGCTTAACATCTACGTAATTTTATTTCATTTTGTTTGTTTGTTTGCTTAAAGGTCAGATAAATTGACGGCCAAACTCTAACAGAATGATAGCCAAATTTGAAATTGAAAATTCGATCTGTACCCAGGCAAGTGATAAATTTAACTGGGCGTTCCAATTTTGACTAACAAGATTCAAGCGGCCAAACCAGGAGCAAAATATCTCACAAAGAAAAATGGCGACAAAAAGAAACGTCGCATTCAATGAAATCTGTTAAACCTCAAAACACAGTAAATCAACAACGCGAAATCTGTGAAACCTCAAAACATGGTAAACCAGCTGCCAATGTGTGTACAATATATCCAATTGGCAGCCAAACAGATACGCAAAACTCAACTCGAAGACAGAGATAAATTCGTTTACAAAATATTTACAAATCTATCGATGCGTATGGTCGGTAATTGAAATAAAGAGCTTGAGACGGAAGCGTACCAATGCACTCATTATAATTCGGTAAACGATGTTTAGAAAAAAATCTGGAGGCAGATTATAAACTCCTACAAACATGGAAGTGATGAACATGTAACTTTTCTTTAATCTCCGTTTGAAAGGAGATAAAGATGAGCTGTTAACTTATCTTCCTTAACTTTAATCAGTGGACATTCTAAATTTGACCGCAGACCTACCCTGAGAACCACAATAAAGGAGAAGGACCTATTGGCGACCCTCTAAAATATTGATTCGGTTCACCGGCGAAAGCATTAGGTTTGTTTTTGTTCATTCGCGAGATTTCTAAGAAAAGTGTTTGGGTTAGTGTTATGAAAACCGAAAAGAAAGCTAAATTGGAGCATAGGATTATTTACGACAACTTTATTTCAATAACAGACACCACAAAGCCTAGGAACTAAAATGCAGGAAACTCTTACTGACATCAGATTGACTTAGATCACATTACCTTGCATCGGCTAACAAAAGTAAGCGGTGACTATTTTCGTGTGTTTTGCGAATCTCACAGTAAGACACGCTATCTCGCTGTTGTTTCTATATCCTTAATATTGTACTGTTTAATCTTTGCAAGTTGAGCGATTTCACGCAAGCAAAATACTGCTAGTAACTCTTAAATCGTGTAATAGAAGGATTGTAGGCACTTAAAACAATTTACCGCTCCCAGTCGGGAGGGAGTGGTAAATTTTTAGTAATAACTTTAAGCTACTTACGAATAAAATCATTAAGGCTGTTTTTTTGCACTCAATGGGACGAATAACCGCTCCGGAAGGAGCGGTGAACAACTTTACAACTTTATATCACTGACGGATAACCGCCACGCATAGCATCGACCCGAAGTGCTGTATCTTATTAAGTGCTTAAGGCGCAGTCTAAACGGGTGCCAAGTTGCTAAAGGTGGGTAAGACGGTTTCATGTAATAACACTGGTTACCAAATTACATTTTGGAAGATTGTGACACTGATCTTATCATCGACAGCAAGAAGATATCTGAAAGTTGAATATCAGTGCATTCGGTTTTTTTTTTTTCTTTTAATTTTTCTTTTTATGAAAATGCTTGTGGCCCAAGATAGAATGCAAAATTGGAAACAGTGTTAAAAATTTCAGAATGTTAATCCAAGTTGAAGCCCCTAACTTCAAAATGTGACATTTCGCGCTTAGTCGAAAGCTGTTGCAGAATTTCCAACTACGCCAAGGAAAATCTCCGCAGGGTGCTGGTTCGACAATCAATAGGACTGTATTTTTCCGATTTCCTGCGTTTATTTACGATCCATATAATATCCGAACTCTCTACGTTCAGTCGTACTCGATCTTTTTTGTCACAAGATAGTGATTCTATTTATCTGCTCCACACCTAAACTAGGTAAAACCAAGATTGACATTGCTTATTCGTTATTTAGGGGCCTATCAGCACTAGCAGACAAAACTAGAATTGCCCCAACAAAATCAAGGACAAATTTGTAATGACAAATTTTTGTCTCCTCGTTGCATCCGCGCTAAAAACGTCGAAGCTTTCAAAAAGCTGCTAAATTCGGTTCACTTCTGGATCTTGTGCGGCCACAATTATTAGTCTGGTGAAGCGGCAACTGGAAAATTACTCCACCTTTGTAGGTTGCCCCAGCTGAATGAAATTTTTTTCCTTGTTGGTCGTTATAGAGTGGTACATTCCAGGGCCTGATCTGCTCATACGGCTGGTCGCTACAATTCGCCAGTGGATTAAAACTCCAATTACCGGAATTCATCATAAGTTTAGACAATTCCTGCAAACTTTTGGTAAGCTGAACACAGTTTAATTATCACGCTAATGGTAGTGTTTACGACAAATGATAGACAAGTTCATCACGGTTTTGTTTATTTAGTAGATTTTGCCAAGCTTTAACCCGAGACAAATGTTGTCGGCGGGTGCGTTTGAAAATTAGCCCGCTTTGGCGAAAAACCATCCATACTTGTAAGGTGTTGGTAATGACAGAAAATTTGCCTCAATAAACAATTTTGTCGCTAATGTGGATGGGCCCTTACTAAATCGCAAGCTATTTCCTTTTGAATTCATTTTAACGGCTGTTTTCCATTATACTCCAACCAACACTTTGTAATTTACACCCGCAGGCACGCATTGTTTGCGACATGAATGGCACATCACGCAACGTCACAGGATGTTCCAACCCAAACACGCACGTTCGAGGGTTTGTTCGAGTCACAGTGACTCTTACGCTGATGTGCCTCGAAGATGATGACTGCACATTTAACTATTATCTGTTTTATGCAATCGTAGCATGATCATGATCATGATGGAACATTTAATTCCTTAAAAGGAGCGTTGAAGTTTTGCCTCAGAATTGTGCTTGCTCATGACTTTTTTCTAGGAGCTCATTTCAATGCACTAAGATTTTACTGTGATTTTGATGTTTGAGCGAGCAAAGTGATACAAATGGTAATGTGTGAGCAGTCGACCCCATCGCCTGGTGAAGACTAACAGTAAGCAGTCGAAAGGTCGCGATCTACATCTTAAGTGATTACATCGTGTGACAAACGATTAAACAGTTTATCATTTCTTACCACTACGATGAACGATAACCTATTTTACGATATTAAACTCATATCATTCCTTTCTAAGAAATTCCAAGGTAATTCATCATTTGACCCGATTACTTCCTTCCCTTGATGGCCTTGCTTCGTTTGTTTTTCTTACCTTCTTCTCTCTCGCTGTATATGCCACATCAAGAACATGGGTGCCAGGGAAAACTTGGGTTTTTGATCTCATCCAAAAAAATATTTCGCCATTTTTTCTCAACCTGAAACTTTCCACAATAGTTAGAGAATTACTATCCTCCATGAAAAAATGCACGGTTTCCTTTTTTGACAAAGTTTCATTAATTTATAGCTGTTTAATTTTTGAAGTGGCAGGAAATCAACCACTTTACTCAAAAAAGACAATTTAATCCCTGGAAACTTTTTTTTCGCGCAAAACACGGTTATTTATGAATCACCCGACTCCTATTCCATTACCTTATGTTACCTCCGTTGAGGGAATATGCATTTTTTGACTTTTGAAATTTTTCTGGTGTACTTGCACGTCTTGTACTAGATTCAAAGCTCAAGAAATGACATTCATGAATTTTTTTCCAACTGGACTGATACAAAAAATTGTAACTTTGAAGTTTAAGAGGGAATTGACCAAATAAATTCACATATACTAATAATATCATAAAGGAAGTGTGTGCAAAGTTCCAGTTCATTCGACGAAATTTTATGTCAGTTTCGATACTTTGAATCGCAAAGAGTCAGTTTTTTTTCGTGGCGGGAAATCAAATACGAACTTAAATCAGAATAAAATTTGCAATTTCTAACTAAAGTGCATGAAAGTTAATAGCAGAGTGTGCAACTGCAAGGACGAAAGTATGATATATTCGTTTTATTATTACCTGGCATATTTGGAACGATTTTCAAGTGCAAATACTAAATGTGGCAGGAAATCAACCAAAATGCGCACTTTTTATCATCGATGCATTTAAGGGTAGAACTTGCAAAGATTTTGGTTCTACATGCACAAGCACTGCTTTTTCTATTAATTTAGATAGAAACTTTAAATTTGACATAGGGCAAAAGTTGCTAAACTGCTCAAAATCTGCATTTACCTTCTTGAGAAGAGGTAATAGCAGCGCGATCTTAAGTTCCTTGGGCAGCACTCCAGATCATAACGACAAATTAATCGCTCTTCTAAATACAGAAAAAAGACTAGAATAGGATTTCCGCATGATACTCGCTGGAAATGGATCTAGTGCGCATGCCTTGATTGAACCCCTAATCAGTCCTAAGACATTTTCATCTGTTACCGTTGCGAACTCACTAAAGCATGATCTACGCTCAAAATCCTCCATAGTGAGCTCCCCCAGCTGTTCTCTCCTAACTAGCAATTCATCACGAATTCTCACAATCTTGGGACTAAAGAAATTAGCAAAGGCATTCGCGAGTTCTAGGTCACTGTTCGCAGACGGATATCTTTTGTCTGTATTCCTTTGTAGTAATTTATCAACTGTGCGAAAAAGTAACTTGCTATCGTGGGTATTGTCCTGAATAACTGTTGAATAATGCTGTTCTTTCGCCATATAAAGCATTTCATCTACAACATCGCGCTGCTCCAAATAATTCACCCCATCAATTTAGAGACCAGTCGAACGTCACTCACGTTCGAGCCTTCGCCTCTTCCTCTTATGAGTGGCAATCTCCTCGTTATACCGATGGTCATTTGGTCGAATGACAATAGTGCGAGTTCTTTTAGGTGCCAGCTTGTCCAAGGCTTTGCACAACACCTCATCATACTCCTTAGCCAACGACTCAATACATTGCGAGACACATCCATTCGACAAACCAGTCGGTATAATCATCTCATTGAAAGCGTCAAAATCAAATCTCTTTAATTTACGAGAGAAAACAGTCTCTCCTAAATAGAAAACACAAGAAACTCTGGCGACTTCAATACAAGATCTCGTGCGCTTCATTGATGACCTGCCTTACGACTCCCCTGGTGGAACACGTTTTCAGCTGCCACCTGTCACTAGAGAAAGCGCCTTCCAGACCATCAAGGATTTTCGATCGGATTGTTCCACTGGCGTGGACCAGTTACCTACTCGTTTCATCAGGATAAGTGCTGAGTACTTGACAGTCCCACTTAAATCTATCATCAACGATTGCATTAAGAAAGCGCATTTCCCAAAACTATAGAAGGTTGATCAGGTGTCTCCAGTCTCAAATAAAGACCGATAACCCAGTCTCAAATGATCAACCTCGGCCTATCTCAGTTCTACCTGTTCTCTCGAAAGTCTTCGAGAAGCCTGCGGTGTCTCAAATGGCGGAATACGCAGACAGCGCTCATCTTCCTCACGATCAAATCTCGAATCTCCGCAAAGGACATTCCACCACTACAGCTCTGCTGGGAATCAGAGATAACATCCGCTATGCCATAAGAGGAAGGAGACTACACTTATGTCAGCCAATTTCTCTAAGGTATTGGACACCATCTACTTTGGCTCGACCATCGAGAGGTTAAATAAGCTTGGCTTCTCAAAACCCTTTCTCAAGTGACTCCTGAGTTACCAATCTGGTCGATCACAGTTTGTACGGATCGATGATAAGAGGCCTTCATGCCAGTCATCCCAGTTTAACATTCCACAAGGGTCCATCATGGGGCAGGTGATATTCAACTTATGTTTCAGCTCTACAAGAAGGGCTATGGACATGAACGAGACTTTCGTGGATATCACAAACTGGTCCCAGGACTCCAACTTGGCACTGAACCCTACAAATACAAATTGCATACTGTTCTCAACCCCTCAGATGTCGTCCTACCATTCCCTCGCAGAATTTCCTATAAACCTGGCTAAAGGAGATAAACCCCTTGCACGTGTCCATTCTACTAAAAAATATAATTAATGCTCGGGGCTCACACAACTGACAACTTAAAGTGGGACGATCATGTTAAGCATCTTGCTTCATCTTGTTACGGTGTCTTAGCTGCGTTAATGAAAATCAAGAATTTAACTAACCACCATCTTAAAAAGTTTAGTTGTGTTATTATGAAAGTTAAGTTATGTCCTGCCTTGACTTGATGACATGATATCTTATCCAATTACTGACTGTCTTTTAAAAAGGCTACAGCGCATTCAGTTTGTGGAAGCCAGTTTTGTCTGCGGACGCTATGTAAACAGTGTTGACACTATTCTCAGATTAGGCTTGTTGCCTATGAAGGAACGTAAGCAATAGTACGTTTTAAAGGCCACGCGCAAAGCTATATACTACCACAATTGGCCAAGAAACCTCCAGCTTGAGCAACTTAGACATACCAGGAACCTTCGCTCATCCAGTTCCATCAATTAAGTCATACCGTCGGCCTCTGAAACTTTCTAGGATAGCGGGCCAGCCCTTCTCTTCAATTCTTTACTAGCAAATGTTAAATCTTGTAGTAATTTTCAGTCTTTTAGAAGGCAAACGTTAGCTATTCTTAGGGAGCGCTGCCGACAGGCGCGCAATAACCATTTAGCCTCAGTCTTTAATTTATAGAAATACATGGTATATTCCTCTGTATAAAATTATGTAATTTTATTTTACCTTTAGTTTTTATATCAGGCAAAGAGCCATTTTGTATGGGGATACTGGTATTAAACCATTGTTTTTATTATCATTACGATATTATTTAAATGCAAGTGTATCTTAGAACACGAAACTTTCCTTTGCGAATTGTGCTGAGCTTAACAAATGCGGTCAAACCATCAGTGGTATTTATGCGGTCGACCTTAATGGTGTAGGTGCCTTTAATATCTATATTGTGACCAGGCAACTACCTGTGGATGATGGACAGTGATCAAGAAGAGGGTGTATGGCACTGTTCATTTCAATCGCGCCTGAGAAGACTATAAAAGGGATTCAGTGATTTCCTCATCTATGTATTTGGCTCGGACTGGACAAGATCGAACGCCTGACACAAAACAAGACAGAAAGCAAACTACTAGTGATTCTGGGAGTGAGGGCTAGCAAAATTGTTCACGCCGCGTATGAATGGTTTGGTATTGAAAATATGAAAGCTGATAACAAGCTACGCATCAGCAGTATTTTCAAGCGTTCGTATATGGTTATGCATATCACACTCATGAACCCTACCCATTTATCGACAAGTTCCTTATGACTTGGTGGCAGAGAATCCATCAGGTGAAACGAAGGCCTGGAATGTATAGAAAACTAAGCAACAGATTTGATTCTGTAACTTTGATACTCTAGAATGGAAAAAGGGTTTTCTCAAACATCGCCTCTATAGGTAACAGTATTTCGTAATTATATAAACATAAAGAAGCCAAAAATAGACCAGAGAAAGGCTCTTAACAATTACAGATTGTTGTCAGCTATGAAGCTAAAATATATTTAAGTTTATGTTTTTATTCCTCTCTTCTTCTGTGCAGCTGCAACTGTTGAAGATTCTCTCTCCATTCATAATGGCAAGTTATTTAGTACATGGGATAGATTTCCAGCTGATGGTGGTAACTATACGTTAATGAAGTTTGTACTGTGGACTCAAATTTAACAGCATCCATCCTCATCCTGTAAGTATTTACACAATTCACTGGGCAAACTTGACCTCCTAAAGCTAATGACAACGATCCCACAACATCTGAAAATCAGACCATGGGACGTTTTCTAAACCCTTCTCCCTAGGGGACCAGTAATTTCTAGCTTTTTTTTCAGGAAAATTTTTTGTGTCATGAAACAATTGTTTGTATGAAATAATCTACCAGATTCTCATACAAGGCTCTGTAATATTCACGGGGGTTTGATAAAGCTATTTATGATTTATCAGGCAACTTGATTGATTTGATGAGTCTTTTGATGGATATAAAACACAAAATTTTGTAACATCGTATGGATTCTTTCTAATTTGGATCAATCACGCGAACAAGTTCATTGATTTTCAAGGCGAGGCGATCAAACACTGTCCTGAATAGAGAATAAATCGTAGATAAAGTGATCTTAGATTAGATCTCTTATCTAAATAATTATTCATCTTTAAAATTCATTGAAGGGAAATAAGAAACCAGCTTATCCAATCTAAAAATGAACTTTAGGCATCAATTTGTCGCTAGATCCTGCACGTTTCTCAATTTCTCGCCCAGTGACCTATTATACTTCAGGAGGTGATGAAATAACTTAAAGAGACAATGTTACACCCTGTGATCAGCCAGACGAATGACTATAATGTGTTTCAGGCACAGTCTTGCCCATGTAAGATCTTTGGTTCCAGCTGGTGGATATGTCAGTGTAAACAACTCAATCTTTTACAAAATAAGTAGACCAATATTTCGGAAAGGAAATGAAGTTGTACAAAGATTACAACACTTCTCTCCCTTTTTCAGCAACATCAACTAAGCATACTTCTGAAAGATAACTAATGTAACTCCTTTCGCATTGGTGATATTTATGAATGGCTGTTTTGTTTGAGTTATAAATAAAATTTAATATATTTTAACAGCCTTTTTGTTTGTTTATTTGAAATTTATACAGCAAATAATTTACCATCTCTTACTGAAGTGTCAATTTCATTTTAATTTTACGAAAAGACTTAAAAGTCTCTTCGTAAATAGTGCAAAAGAAATGCAAGTTTATATTTAAAACAAATTTGCATAGGGGGCAAAAACTTCAATTTAAATGAAGAACAGTGCGACTGTATTAACTTATTTGCCTCTTTCCTATCACTACCGTCACAAAATGTATTCATACCTCACTCAAACAAGTGAAGCATTACATTTTGCGTCAACAGATCGCATCTCATATAACAAAAGACTTTCATTAACCGTGCAGTGGTATTCTTACAACCCTCTCAACGCAATTACATTTCGTACACAAACTAATCAGTAAAAGAGTTTTAAGGAAAGCCAAGCGGTCTGATCTTCATTTCAGTTGTTGTGGGCGCAGTTTTTTCAGCGTTGCTGGGATCCAAACACACAGATAAACACCATTGAGATTTGAATCCTGACCTGAAGCACAATTGACATAGTATCACCAACCTCCACTGCATCTATTAGAAGCGGTATCTTTATCTCAGGTGACAAACTGGGAGCCATTATGAAGACTGAGAGAGTCGCGATTAACTGTCTTTTCTTAGCAAAAGAATTTTTAGGAAATAAGCGTTGATATCAGTATATAGCCAGCCGTTAGACACTTTATTATTTAGGAGCAGGAAGATTAAGTAGGAAATCAAATGTTACGATCTCGGATACATCAATGTTGAAAAGCAAACAAAGCAAAAACAAAAAATAGTTCCGTTGTGGTATTGACTAACTACCGGTGACTCTTCTTCAGTTTGAGAGGCATTTACATGACTCAGAAGATGCTCGCTGTAAACACAGTCATTTGGCCAACGTGATGGGTAAATAACAAGTTGATTGGTAGAGGAAAAATTGGTCAATCTGTTGCTAGAGACTTACTACGTTAGCTACCCATAATTGTGATGGTATTAAGGCTAGTGATAATGATAATTCGCCAACTTACTAAGAAGATTTCCGATGATCAGCTGATACTTAGCTTCTTCTTTTCCAATTTTTAGTCACGCATACTCAGCACAAACAGTTTTGTTTTCAGTTACTCCCAGATCTACGCATTGCATGTCTTTTGACTTATTTCTTGTCAGAGGGCGGATCTTTTTCAATCCAAGCCAATATTCACAATGAGGAAACTACCGAAGCCATGTTTGTAGTCATCCCAGGTGCGCCTGAAATCATCGAAGCCATTCAGCCTCTTCTGGATCACTGTCCATCCTCCGCCAGCTGTTGTCTGGTCGCAATATGCATTAAAGGGAGCTTTGTCATCAGGGTAGATTGTATAGACACTGCTAATTCTTTGACCGCCTTTGAAAAGCTCAGTACAGTTCCTGGCTGTTGAAAGAAAAAAAACCAAAGTTTGGTTGGTTTGATTACGTGTATCAGGGAAAGAGCATGAAACAAAGTGTCCTTCCAGCTTCTTGTACATTTATTTATTTATTTATCTATTTTTTTTTTGTGTTGCTAGGTGAATTTGCAGATCTGCTCGTTGCCATGGGCCACGTGCTCATGTGCGAGATAAAAACAAGTTGAGTTGAGGAGTTTGGAGGAACGTGAGCGAATAAAGTTGTAAAAAGAAAAATCGAATCAGCCGAGTCCAAATTGTCGTCCGGCAACGACATTTGTTCCTTCGAGCCAGGTGTTGAGCGAAATCAAGCGAAAAATCGCCGAGTCAAGCTGTTAGTCACCCGTGTACATGTAACTGCGTGTAATATTATCACCGAGCCGTGCGGTTGAGTATTGTGAAGATTCACTCAAGTGGCACTAAGATGAGTACCTCGAACAGAGGAGAAGACAAAAAACCAAGACTGTTTACGCCAAGTGAGTCTACTACTTCAAGTAAACGTTCTGTCTTAAGAAAGTAATGGCAAGCCAAGAAGTTAGCTCTTGAACTAAAAATAGCCGATCAGACGTTCGCAAATAATACTGAGTGTCTGCGAACCGAACAACAGCAGTGTGCAAAGCTATTGGAACTTCAAAAGAAAGCTGAAGAATCAAGATTGGAATATGAGTTCGAAGATGCCATCGCCCAGGAAAAAGGTATGTCGAATAAAGGCGATATTGATGAAGAGTTGAATGAATTACCTTTTGACGGTGTGTTCAGACCATAGTGAAAGAAAGTGGCACGCAGATCAGACAGCATCAATAAATAGTTTCTGAGCTTTTAGGCATTTTCAAGGAGCACGACTTCCTTCATAAGCTTAACTCGCTGAAGCAACTTAAGTCCCTGAAGCAACTGTTGCTAAACTTCCTGCACGCCTTTGCGGTAATGGGCGGAGTTTGTTGAAGGAAAACCAAAGTTTTCAACCTGGGATTCATTTGCCAATTGGCTGCAAAAAGAGGCAAAAATCAGTGAGTTCAAGCAGTAGTGGATGCCAGAGAAGAGAGAGTGAAAGCGTTCAGATACATCTAAAGTTGATAGGCGTAAGTCAGCTGACAAATTACAATCTCGGTTGTTTGTAGGAGCCACAGGCGAAGCTTTACGCACCAGCCATAGAACAAAGAGGTGCCCAATTCACCAGTCCACTAATCACACTTTGCAGGAGTGCAAAAGTTTTAAGGGAATGTTGACTAGCGAAAAGGTGAAAATTGTTGAGGAACACTAACTAATTCCGTAGTAGGAATAGATGCAAAGTTGAGAACTGTGACATGCGTGATCATACCCTCGTACATGAAGTCGACTTGAAATTTATTGAACAGGCAAAAGCGAAACGTGAATCAAAACGAGTGCCAGATGTTGAAAGAGATCCAGCACAAGTCTCCTTGGAAGGTAAATGTATTGCGCAAAATTCTAATTTCTTTGCGCATTATAATTTGATGACGTAACAGATATAATTGTTAAGATTTTCTATCGCTAGACAGTGTTATGGACACCTAGAACCAATGGGTAAATATTTACCTTGATTTCTTTTGATATTATCGATATGAACTGAAACTAATTTGCTAACGCATTAGTTTACAGATTTCGAATCTCCGATTCATATCCATGGATTTTGTCATAACCTTCATCCGTTATTTATTGTAATAAAATATCGTGGTTTGGAACCTTTGGTATATTAATGTCCTAACACACCGTCACAGTAAAGACTCGTCAGCACATTAGACTGTGGAGCCCCACGAGGGGTATCTCCAATCAGCGTAAGTAGGTTGTGAAGCTGATACAGTACTTCCCATAGTCTTCGGAGAAAAAGGAAAACAACAAGTGATGGCCTTGCGTGACTTGGGCTGTAACACAACACTTATAGATGAAAGTTTAGCGCTCTCACTTAGACTTCAAGGCAAATATGTAGATCTCGAAATTCAAGGAGTAAATGTGCGGAAGGTGTTTACTTCCAAGCACATCAAGAAATGCCGTGTCGCACGAGTCGGAAGAGAGGAAGTCCAGTACTCCTTGCGAGATGTGATAACAGTTCCTAGCCTGAATGGTCCGGATCAGAAGTTGAAGTGGTCAATAATTAAACAAGAGTATCAGCACCTGAAGAACTTGGACTTACATGACACCGACACAGGTTCAGTGCAACTCATAATTGGAACTAACAACTCTGACTTGATTCTACCAAAACAAATTGTGAAACCCTCTGGTCAACCGGAAGTTGACACAGTACCTTATGCAGTTGAGACCCCACTTGGATGGGCGGTGACTAACTGGTTACCTGGTGAGCGAAGAATAGCATCTCCGTACAATGGGTTCAATGTGTATGAAAGAAGTTCAGTTGAAGATGAGGAGCTGAAGCAGCTGGTCGTGGCTTAGTCAGAGATAGAAACGTTAGGTGTGGTGAAGCTAACAGATCCAACCTGTTCAATTGAGGACAAGCGAACATTGTCACCAATGGAAAAGACAACCTTTAAGAATGCGAGTGAAGATGCGTATGTGTCAGGCCTACTTTGGAGAGAAGAGGAACCATCTCTACCCAACAATTACGAAATGGCAAAGAAGAGGCTGCAAACGCTAAAGAAGAAGTTTGAGAGCTGCCCGAGGTCAGAGAGAGATATGCAAAGTCAATCCAGGATGACACTGAGAAAGGCTATGTGAATGAACTGAGTGAAGAGGAAGTACAGTGCGATAGTAAAGTGACTTGGTACTTAACACACAGATTTGTCATTAACCCCAAGAAACCTGATCGTCTGAGAAGAGTATACGATGCATGAGCAAAATTCATGGGACAAAGTTTGAGCGATAAGATCTACACAGGGCCAGATATTCTCTCCTCTCTGTTTGGAGTCTTCCTCAGGTTTTGTGAAGGAAGAATTGCAATGGCTGCTGATGCGAAAGAAATGTACCATGTACTTCGCCTCCCTGACCATGACAAGCCAGCGATGACATTCTTATGGAGAAACTCCCTGAGAGAAGAACCGAATGCGTATCTCTTCGAGAGAACAGTGTTTGGAGAAGTGTCTGCACCATCCAGAGCAAAAGGAGGCGAAATGCTGATGAGAATGGGGAAGACTTACCCCTGGGTGTGAAAAGCAGTCCACAAGCACTTTTACATGGATGATGGCCTACCATCAACGGATTCTCGCGAGGAAGCTATTGAAATGCGGAAGCAGATGACTGAGTTGTTGCGCCGTGGAGGTTTCCACCTACATAAGTTCTGACAAATTACCCAGACGTCTTGGCGACCATGCGACCATCCCGGAGCAAGATAGATCTCCACGATTCCTCGAGCTGAGTGAAGACAAGTTGCCAACGGACAGAACTTGGGGCGTCATTTGGGATGCCCAGGAGGATATGCTCTGGTTTACCGGACTGAAGGGTGATCTAGGTACGACAAGGAGGAATATCTTGAGCCAAGCATTCTCTGTTTCGGATCCAAGAGGACTACTCCACCCATTCACTATCAGAAGTAAGATCATCCTGCAGGGTCTGAATCGTATGAAGTATGGGTGGGACGATGAGTTGAAAGAAGCTGATCTTCAAGAGTGGCGTGAATAGCACAGGGAAGTAGAGAAGCTTGACGAAGTGAGAATTCCAAGAACTTTACTTCAAGAACAGAAACCTATCCAAGAAACAGCACATCATGTATTTTGTGACGCCAGCCAGGATGCCTATGGCGCGTGTGCGTACCTAAGACGTGCGTTTACAGATGACACACTAGAGTGTAGGCTGGTTGCGGGAAAAGGCCGTATTTCCCCTTTCAAGTGACTATCTATCTGCCGGCTGGAGCCCATGGGAGCTCTACTAGCTGTGCGATTACCTGAAAAACTGGGGAAAGAAATGACCACAAAGATGGAGAAGATTATCTTCTGGAGTTACTCCACCACAGTCTTGCATTTGATCTGCCAGAAAAGTTCCACTTATAAAGCATTCGTCGGCAACCGGGTGACCACACTAAGGGCGGGCAGAGTGAGTTGGAGGAGCGTGGGAAAGACTTGTACAGTGCACAAAGAAGACGCTGAAGGCAATTCTGGCACACAGGAAGGTTTCCAAAGAAGTGCTGAGAACTACGCTAGTCGAAGTAGAAGGAATACTAAACGGTCGACCGATTACTCATATGTCCAATGATGCAGGGGACATTGAATCGTTAACCTCAAATCATTTCTTGCTGTTACGGGCGAATCCGAGTTATGAATATGCTGAAGTCAGTGATGGTGAGATAAACTCGACAAAGATGTGGCAACGGTCCCAAGCACTAGCCAATTTCTTTTGGAGACGTTTTACCAAGGAATACCTTCCTAGCCTGACAGAGAGGAAGAAGTGGAAAGAGAAGAAACAAAATTCTGCCCTTGGGCAGAATCATGTCTACTCATCGGGTCGGGGTGGTTTAGTTCGAGCATTAATAGTTCTTCATACAGACGATGAACTTCAATCAACTCTGCTGAAATGCCAGGAAGTTCTTGACTCGTTCCAGAGCCTGGAAAATAACTGGGAAAAGAGGATGGACGGTTTGAATGAAAACTAGGAGTCATCAAGGGAGCTGATTTTCAACTTCCATTCTGTGTTCTCAAGGGTCACATATATTAGGCCAGTTGTGTGCCATTTGTGCCAAGGGAAAGTGTGATGACAGAGTGGAGTGTAGTGAAAACAAGATGTGTAGTAAATGTGATGCGATGATCCACCAAGACCTCCTTTTCGATGACAGAAAAGATTTTTTGGATCGTTTCTATGGGCACATACCTCCTACAGTCAATGTGAATGAAGATGGGAAGCTAGTGCAGACTGGTTAGTTTATTTACTTAAATGTTGCTAGGCCTCTTATTGTAGTGGGCGTTTATTTTTGTTCTTGTTGATAGATCAAATCAACACGATCTCTCTCTCCAAAGGAGGATAATCATCACTTGCAATGTCTTCTCAAATGAAGTAATGTACTTCATTTAATTTGGCCGTGGTTTTGATAAATAGAATAGGAATAAATGTGTGGATACACAGGAAAGATAAAATGGCGGCTTAAGGCGGCGAAGGGAATCTCAGTAGTTTGGTATTCTAGCGTGAAAAGGCTTGGGTGTTGTGATCTAGTTCTCAAGTAAAAAAGATCGCTATCTGCAATCAGGCTCTATCACCTTTTGAAAAACAAGAAAACATTGAAAAGGTGGTGAGAAAGCAGCAAGTTTTGAATTCTAAACGAAAGATGGATAACCTGAGTTTCAGTCAAATATCATGACGTTTGGGATGTAACTTCGACACCAAATAAATAGCTTTATATGGCTATACACTCAGAGGATTCTGTTGTGTTCACGTGAAGGCCATTTCAGCTATTTCTGCCACGAGCAATTATTGGCTGCAGCACATTTTGACTGGACTGATTCTGTGTAGTATGTATGTGCACTTCTTTTTGGGTGTTAAACAGGTCAAAGTACCAAGAAATCCTGTGTGATAATTTGGTATTCTAAGTTGTAAACATTTTTAATAGTAAGGTAAAGCTTCATCATTCTTTAGAGTTTGCATCTGTTCTGAAAATTTGGGGGAGAGTCAGGGGATCATTATCTATACATATGTATTTAAAAAGTAACAAAAAAAAAGCACTAAGGTAAAATCCAAATTTGCTTAAAAAGTTGATTTTATTGAGAGCAAAATTTGTGTGATCTTCACAAATTGTTAGTTTTTTTTTGTAAACTTAATTTATAGAAACCCTGTTAATTGTCAGCCTCGAGAACAAGTTTATAATTGCAAGAAAAGCTTGAAGCTTGAAAAATTCACTGATGAAACTGGGCCAGGTGTCATGAGATTTGTACAATAGGTTGGCCTAGGAGGGACAAAGAATTAAAGAATTCATTGATTCTTTTACAACTTTGTCTCCATTGTGTGCTTCTGTAGAGCTTAGTTATTGCAGTAGAAAACTCTTTCGGAGGGCCCCTGAGATCACTTACTTTTGGGCTAGTTGCCCCTAGGGAAAAGATAACTGTGCTTACTTCTCCCTCAGGGGGCTAACGGGTTAAAGACTGATTTTTCTCCAGTCGCCACAAGTACCCCTGCACATGGAAATTTTTAACACTATTAAAGGGCTAGTACCCTCATTTCATTACTTGAATTTGTAATTTAGTGTAAGTTATGACAAATAATAGATGTAAATTCATCTTGGTTTTATAGGTTATATCCAGCGATCCTTAAACGAAGTAAAAAGTTATTTTTCTGAATTAAAAAAAGTGTTCTTGCTCCTAAGTAAGTGCATGATATGTCATTCAATCAATGCTGTAGCATTAATTGAATTAACTTCATAAGTTAGGACAATAAAACAAATAAGGCAATAAGCAAATGTTGTTGTGTATCCTTGTTGTCAATTTGGGCCGAAAAACACGTTTATTTTTTT